ATTATGCGGCTCAAGGACTCTCTGTAACATGATATCAGTGTCTGTTTCAATCACTCATCCGTCTCAAACAGTTAAGAGGTGTGAGGATGAAGCATGCTGTGTCCTGTCTCCTAACTGGCTCTCAGTGAGGTAACATCCAGGCCTCACACACCTATCAAATGCCAAATGAGAACATTAATGCGCTTCAGACAGGACTCATTTCTTATGTCCATACGCTCTTCTGGGAGTCTGTACCTCCTTGCACAAAGCCCCTTTTTCAAATTCACACGCTGTCCCTTGAGAAACATAATTAAACTCGGTACCACTGTGAAAGAAAATGGGCAAAATGACTCCTTGGCCCCATTTTATGCAACACAAAAGAGGCAAAGTGCAGGTTTAAAGTGGGAATATACATAGTTCTTTCGTAGACCATGAAAAGTGAAGACTTTAAAAAAAAAATGCCCCACATCTAGGGACCTCCTCTGGAGCACAATGCAGCCATAAACACGAAAAGCAATGTCCTGTGTGATTTTGCAAACACTTCTTTCAGATAACACCGGTTTCCCACCAGAATCTTCCAGCTGAATCCCTCCTTTTCCATCAAACAACATCTCACACTGACAAGCTTCCTGTTCCTTAATCATTATGTAAGAAAGTCTTTCTGTGTGACTCTAAACATACCCGTAGGTGGAAGTGTGGCGCTTTGTCATTCAGAACAGGGATTTTGTAAGGGTTTAAAACATAATCAGATATTTAAGCACAGTGAGTAAACACTTATGGGTGTATTACATGTATATCTCGTTTATCATTTTAAAACTATTTTAACAATGATTTTAATCACAAGGAGATAAAATCTAATACGACTATAACACAAGTTCGGTGACTAAAGTGTACTGTTCAATCCAAAATAATCATAATTTTTTTGAGTTGTGGTGCTGGCATTGGTAACATGAGTTTGAATCTGGCTCGCAACATTTATTCTTCCTCAACTTTTCTTGTTAACTTTACTTTCGCCTATTAGGGATGTGCAAAACTACATATTTGCAAATATTTGCAGTTAGTTGGTTTATGGCCCGAACGACTAGTTTTAGTTAACCAATCTGTTTTAAGGAAATCCTAAATAATTAGGTTTGTTTTTAGGTAGTTTTATTGACATCAGTTGGACACATTATTATGGGATGTTTACATTAAATATGCTATTTGTTTCATAACTAAATAATAATCATTAAAAAAACTAAACTAAAAATAAGAAATAAACAATACATTACATAATTAATTATGAATACTTAAATACAACCACAACAACAATACAATAATAAATAAATACATTTTATTCTAAAACTACTGGACTTTACTAACCTCAATTTATTCATAAGAATCGCTAGTTCATATAAATAAAAAGAGAGCCAAAAAGGCTAAAAATATAATCATTGTATTCAATGTACCAGATTTTTAACTGATTTAAATGAATGTGCATTGATTATCTTTCATCTTTGAAAATAAAGAAAAAATACCTTAAGAAAAGAGTGGGGGTTTGTTTTGTGATTTTGGATCACCTATCATGTACTTCTGCTGATGGCAGAGACTCAACAGCATATAGTTAGCCAGAACAGAATGACGATAACTCCCATAGCCACTAGTTTCCCCTGCGGAACGTAATACAACCCAAACTGGCACTAGAGTCTCAGAGCGGGTCTGTTATCCTATTGTTAAAGACACAGCTTAAAATCACAGTATTTCCAATCCTCCGAGGCACACATTATGTTCACAAAGCCCATCACTGCCTGAGCACACCAGTCTATTCATTATTTTACACTCACAATTTGCCATTATGAAATGCAGAAAGACATGGTGCTGTAAGGTAAAATTAGGATTGATTCAGGCTCTTTTTGCATGAATAGAGCTGCACACAAAATGTCCTTTAAATTAAATTAAATAAAAGGTATTTTGCACTTTAACCAACCCAGCAAGAACAAATATGGCACTGAAATGCCCCAGCAACTGAATAGCATTAATTTTAGGCTTGATATTTTTTTTTTACAAACATACTATAAACATCTTTAAGCAGTTTCACATATATTTCAAATTATAGAAGTCGTAAAAACATGCTAAATGTGCTAAATGTTGTACGAACATCTGACAGTAAATACTTAAAAAATAAAATTTTCAGAATGAAAATAGGTGCACACATGCAAATCAGTGGTAACAGACAGTGTGGCTACTTACAAAATAAGAAAATAAAATATAAAATGAAAAATAATAAAAAATATACACAAAATTATAATTTAAGATTGAATAAGTTTATTATGCAACAGGAAAGAGACTACTGACATTAAAACCTGGCATAGCTATTAGACGGCATTCAATTTTACTGTTTAGCGGTCATTATACTAAAATATATACGACCACAGAATGGCCAAGTATGTTAGTTGTGCTTGAAAATGATACAATACATTTGTTAAGGTGGATATGGATATCGGAATATATAACACTTGAGAAATATTAATTGGCTGAGATTATGTTAAGTCCTCAGTATATCCCCTCAGAAGTGAAACCACTGTGATTAGATCTTTCTTTCATCAAACCCAGTGGGGGACTGTCAAATCTACTTATGGCATGCTTTCTCTGCCTAAAATAAGTACTAGCGACTAGATATCAGAGTCGACACGGAGGGCACTAATCTCACAAAGGGGGAAAAAAGAGAGAAATATCATGCAACAAACAGCCAAATTTACACTAAAAAAGACATCTGTGAGACGAAAGAAAAGATTTATGGGAAAAACAAGTGTTTTGTTCACCTGTGATATCACATGGCAGCTGCCACAGCGTTTCGTACCATCTATAGCAAAAACTTGAACTCTTTGGCATGAGTCCAGTTTTCATGCCTCTGTGAGGCTAAAGAGCCCCCTCAGGTAAACAGTGAGATGAGCTGAGCCACGACACGAGGAAGAAACGACATATTGTTTTGAAATGAAAGGCAGTTGCTATAGGGACGGCTGCTAATTAACCACACAGTACTGGCAGACCTGGAGAGCGGCAGGACTGGGGACCAGGATCTTGACTTTTATGGATCTATGGTGGGTCCGCTCAGATAAATTAAATCTCAAACAGTTGTTATGGACGATGAAATAACTAAGGTGACGGCAAGTGCAAGGCTAAGGAATGCTACACGTACACCAGCGTAGGAGGTGACAGGTTTGCCACAGTGACCCAAGAAACCCCCCATGAACATCAGCCAATTTATTTAGAAGGAAATGCCTGAAGGAAAAAAACAGTGGTCATGGGAATAAACAGGTGTCTGTTAGGAAAGAAATATCCTTTTTGGCATTCATTTAACTTTGTGAAACGTCTTTAAATAAGGTTCAATTTGTTAACATTAGTTAAAACACTAACAATGAGCAACTATTTATTAATCTAGCCTAACTTTCATGTTCATTTATATTTCGACAGGTTGAAAATGCATTAATATGTAGAAATTAACATTAACCTAGATAACCTTATTTTCCAGAATAAAGTCGCACCTGACTATTAAGTCAACAGTTGCATTGAGAGAAAAAACCCCACAGATAAGTCACATTACATTTTATTATTACATTTAGAAATAATGTAAAATCCCAATAAATAAAGCAATGTTTACAAACATTGTAAACGCTGTTAAACATCCTTTAAATTTAACAGCATTCAGAACAGAACAGAACAGAACGAAAAATATAAGATATAAAACAAACATAAATTATAGTGGCATGCATTTTTAAAAAACATTTCTTATGAATGCCAAACCTAAACTAATTCATTAAAAGAAAAACTGAAACTACTGATGTCTGAGAACTGCGCTATACAAATATACTCATGGGCTTATGAAACTCTCTCGCACTGCACAAATCAAAAATTTTAATTAATAAAAATTGTTGCATTATATACGTCGTAGCACATTTTAGATGATAAAAAAGTGACTTATACATACTTAAAAACATGGTAGTAAATGCTGTTTAGATATTTTTAATTTTTAGTTAATGCATTAGGTGATCATGATGTTAACAAACTGAACCTTATTTTGAACCTCATTATAAAAATTTTCCAAAATTTCAAAGGAAACATTTCAAACAGTAGAACATGGGTGCTTGCAACACCAAGATCATGGGTTCGATTAGAAGGGAATGCATAACTTAAAACACCTTAAAATATCACAAGAAAACAGCAAAAGGAAATAGCAAGTTGGATTCAAACCTGAGTCCCCAGGTGGGCTGCAACCATGAAAAAACGTTCTAAAAAGCAGCGCTTTTATGATTTATAAGCTTGTACACTTTTTCCATCAAGCATCCGGATTTAACAACTGTTTGGTTTTCGAGTTGTTCCTAATAAAGACAGCTGGATACAAGTTCAAGCAGTGTGAGGAGGCTTCATTGTGGACAAGGCCAAGAGCATGTTCAATATCCTAAGAGAAAAGAAAAGCAGTATTCCCTCTTTCCATGACATCACCCCAGCCGGGAGTTTGAGGGAGGTGTGGAAGGGAGTGGGGAAGCTTTGGGGAATGAGGTGGGGGGGGATTGGGAGCGCAGCTGGTGTCAGCCGCACGACCATCTGCTCCTGACTAATGGTTCACGCTGACTTTACAACAGAACCCAGGACAGCCAACCTGCTCCACCGCCTGGCCCGCTGGAGTCCCGTTTTTCCAGTTTCAGAGGCCCGACGGACCTCATCGTTTCACCCTGAGGACAAACAACTAACAACTTCCCTGAGAACTTTCTGATGAGCGTGTCCCCCGCCAACTTCAACAAACAACACACGATTACGAGCAGTCAAAACAAGCTGCAACGGCAGTCATAATGTTACACAGCTAGTCAAAATATGTAGATTGAGATAAAGGTCTGTTAGTAAAACCTCTATATTTAAAGTCAACTTGATGTCAAAGTTGGGTTCAATTCATACTTGGAAAAGGTGGTCTGGTTTATGTGAACTCCGGATTCAAACTCAAGTTCTGACCGAGCAATCAAACCAATTGTTGCAGTTTTTCAACTCACCATACATTTTCCCCTCATCGGACAGGATGATTTTCCGTCGTCCGCAGGGTGGGTAGATGGCTAGGGCCTCCTGGAAGCTCTGCTCAATGTCAGGGCTCCACACGCTCTCTGCATCGTTGTCCATTGGCTTATCAGCCGAGTCGCTCATCCTCTCGATATCCTCGCCGGCACTTTCACTGCCACTCCAGCTGCTGGGATCCATGGCAACAGCTGGGATTTCGGAGCCCGAGCCTGGAGAACTCTAGGCACACTGACCTGGGAAGAGCAACCAATAAAAACAAGCAAATGATTGGTCTTGTTTAACTTGTCTTGCTGCAAAGTGTTAACTTAGATCTCTGAAAACACTTCAATTCAAGCAGGGTTCAACAGGAAGAAAAATTAAATTATAGGATTACCATATTAATTTATTGTGGTATTTCTAATGGTACTTCAAGATACTTAAAAAAAAATACCATAGTATTACCATAATGCTACCATTATGCAATACAAAATCATAGTAAATGAGTATATTATTTATGACAATTCAGGTTACTTTGAATAAAAGCATTTGCTAAATCTGTATAAATGTATATGCAGTAATGACAATGAAGCAATAAATATTGTAGCCAGGTATTAGAGTTAACTAAAACAAAAAAAAAAATAAAAATGTTACTTGGAATAAAATAAATGTAAACTGAAACAATAATAAAATATTAAAAAAACTTATTTCAGCCATTTGCCAAGGAAACAGTTCTCATTTTCATAACTAAAACGGAAATAAATGACAAAATACAACAAAATTACTAATACTTTAACTAAATGAACTGAATGTAGCTCAACTAAAGCAAATCTTCTAAATTAAATCCAAATTTTAGATTTTCCAGGCTCTTTTATTTCATGTCTGTTAATTTTGAGACCATAATGCTACATGCTAGTATTCTCCAAGTGAATTTGTTAACATTTAGATGTACTCATTTAAAATTTGCACTACTAAGATTTTCATCCAATCAGATGCTCTCTAGAATGAAAATGTCCTGCCCCCTAATACCAATTTACTAGCAAATCATGGCTTATGTCTGTAACATTCTAAAGCCTATTGGCTACTTCAAACTTCCTGTTTAAAGAGGAAATACATCTATGCAGGGAAGAAATTTGGGCCTGTTAAACAATGCCATTGCATCTTCAAAAATGGCCTGTTTACAACTTCACACAGCGAATCTATTTGTGGTTTGGAAATGAAAAATAATAATCAACACTGAACACATTAAATACAATTAAAACATTTGCTCATCACCCATAAAAAACATCAAACCAAAAGCTTAAGATCAACACATGATTGAAAGCCCATGAAGGAAATGAGAAAACACATAAGCCATGATAATTTAGGAGTGGCACTTAGGCTAAACCAAAACAGCTGCTGTCTTAGAAGGGAACACTTACAAGCTGGCAATGATGTCAGACCAGCTTTTAAACTTTTATTTGTGGTAGAAGATTGCTGAATGACAAATGTTGATCCTGTAGCTTAAGAGAGAGAGTGATTAACCCAAATCACATGCAACACTCCTACGAGTCACTGTGTTTAGCATTAGCACCACACAGTACGTTTCAAGTTAAAGGAAAACTGCTTGAGCGAAAAAACGCTGCGGCTAATTGCAATCTCATTATAACCATTGCAGTACAAATCAAGGAAACACTGCAACAATCTGGCAGAAAATCACATCCAATCACAGCCAACTGCTCAAATAAACAGCCAATAGTGGCACAACATCAAACGCATGTGTGTGTGTGTGTGTGTGTGTGTGTGTGGGTGAGACTTTGGGGTAAACCATGAAGTGTTAAAACCATACAAATCTAATCTAAATGGTCACACAGAGCAATTGCTAACTACAAAACTTGCGTTTTCAAGTCACGTCTGGCCTAGAGGCTACACTAATTGGGGAAATGCCCAGTCAAAACAGTGCTGCCTATTGTAGAACTACTAGCATGTGTTTCCTGTCAAATTTGAGCGGGCTACACTTCACAATGTGTTAACGTGTGTCTACAGAGTGTTGGTCCCTTGTGAAAAAGACATACACTTCAGATACTTTTAAACAGAGTATATTTTATATATTAAATGCAATTAGTTGAAAATTAGAGTGTTTTTTGACACAATTAAGTAGAGATTATGGGATCTTTATATGTAATTTCATAATTTCTTCTATTGTCCTTGAAATGTGGTTAAAGTTTACTACCGAATACACTGACAAGCATTTATGGTAAACTAAAACTGTACTTGAAGTAATTTCTATTAAAATGTGCATGTCATGTGTTTAAATATATTTGTAATTACACATTTGTAATGATGTTGCAATTTTATCTTATAGCAAAAACGGGCTATAAGATAAAATCTCAAGTCATCTCCGATGATATTACATTGCCTGATGAACTTAATGCGTTCTACAGTCGCTTTGAAAATACAATGGAGGGACAGGTTGGTCAGCCGACGCTGCCCTCCTGGTCCTGTATTATAAGCCCTCCTTTTAAAATAGAGGAATATGAAGTCAGGAATCTGCTGCGGAAGCAGAACAAGACAAATGCTGTTTTGCCATTGACTATTAATGGTCAGGACATTGAAACTGTTCAATGTTTTAAGTTTCGCGGGACTACTATCTCTGCAACGTTAAAGTGGGACGACAAACTAAGAGGCCTTATTAAAATATCTCATCAAAGGCTTTTTTTCTTAAGACAGCTTAAAAAGTTTAGCGTATCTAAAGTTGGTATGTTAAATTTTTATAGAGCTGTCATTGAAAGCGTGCTGACTTTCTCACTTATAGTGTGGTTTGGCAGCTCCACAGTTCAGCAGAGAAGTCAGATTAGTAACATAACTCGGGTTGCTTCGAAAATTATTGGTTGTGATCTTCCCACTATTGATGAGATCTATGTTTCACTTTTGCAGAAAAAAGGTTTAACAATCCTGAAAGATCCCTTACATCCAGCCAGACACCTCTTTACGCCTCTTCCTTCAGGCAGACGCCTCAGAGCAATTAAAACTAAGTCTACACGTTTTTTGAACAGCACTTATTGTAGGATTGTTCATGCTCTTAATTCCTCTGGTGTCTATGCATCTGTATTTCACTCCTTATAATTGATAGGACATAGATAGTTGTGTATGTGTATGTATTTATATATTGTATGTATTTTAATGGTTGTTATTATTGTTGATGAGCTCACCAAGAAAAATTCCAAACAACTAGGGTGTTTGGCAATAAATAAATACATTTAATACATTTAAAATATATTAACATTATAACACACTACAGTTAAAATTATAATAAAGTACTTTAGATGTGCTTTAGTATGTTAGTGAACATAAAAGTGTTCTTCTTTACAGTAGGACAAAAGATTAATACATAAGGATTTATAATGTACTTTATAATGTAGTACTTGACTTTTTATTTCAATAATATTATATATGGCCTGCAAGTACAGTTTTTTTTAAATATACTTTTAAAATGTGAACTGCACTACAAGTGCACATTCAATACAATTAGTGCACTTTCTTTTTGTCTCCAGCTATTCTAATAGTGAAAGCTTACAATACTGTATAATCAGCTCTATATAAAAATAAAATCCCCTATTGTAAGTCCCCATTTGGGTAGCTAAATGTGTGTGAAAAAGTTTGTGACTGGGTGTCTCACTAACACTTTGCAGTTGTGAATGTTTCTTGTTTTTTTGTGTGTGTGTGTACTAAATGCTGATGTTGCAAAAAAAAAAAAACTCACTTGTACTGCTGAGAAAGAGTGATAAAATTTGTGCATGCTGCAAACTGCTAAATGCTTGGGCTCTTAAACATCATCTTCCTGACTTGGAAATTAACTCAACTGTAATCACTTCCAGCACAGTCATGTGTGCACTTTTGGCTTTGCCCACAATTACACTGCAATCTGTAGTTTTCCACTTCTGGCACTTACCGAATACTGTATTTGTACATTCAGTGCAGTATATCTGAGTTTGCACTTCAGATCAGAGCGTTTTTGTTGAGCTTTAAGCATCTATCTCATGTGAAGGTTTTCTTTCATGCAAATACTCCCTGATCTTGTGCATTACCAGCAGATCAAACCAGACCAAAAAGTGCATGCTATAATTACTTGTATGGTAATATCTCGGATATCTGAGAGATTCTACATGAGTTTTGAATTAGCATCAACAAAAGCAGGCTGGTAGTTTGGACTGCGGAAGATTAAAGAGAGCCTGCGTGTGGTGGTTTAATCGAAGAGGGAGAGAGGCGGCTCTCGACAAACCACACATCCTCCCTGTAATTTACAAGACTTCACACTTCAAAAAGATAAAGAAACTCAGTACGAAAAAAAGCTGTATGGAAGGCAAAAGAAAGAAACTAAAGAAATGAATAAACTACTTGTTTATTTTGGCTGACTAATCGATTAATTGTCTAACAACCAACTAATCGATTAGTCGAGTTGACTAGTTTTTCTTGACTTTTCCTTTATTTTTAGTATTGATATTTTTAGCAGTTAAGGCCTGTTCACACAAAGGACGATAACTATAATTACAACTATATATAATCTAAAATTAAAAATCATTCTAATTCTATGAGAACAGTTAAATCCATAAAACAACTATAACGATAATGACAGAGGCCAAAATCATTGGAATCACTTTCAGAATGTTTTTTTAAAGCTGATGAATGATAAAAACATTGACAGCCAATCAGAATCCATCCTGCTTTAAAGAGCCAGATGACAAAACTGCAGCATACGCTTTTAACAAACAGAATATTATCGTCCGTTGGTGTGGACACGAATCAAGTTAGCGTTATAGTTATCATTTTTGGCATGAACAAGCCTTTAGAGTTTATCCACTTTAAAGTGGTCTTACATATTCAGAGAGAGGTTTTTGGGAATTGCGTTGCAAACTGTTTTATGAACATCCCACCACACGCGTTGCATTTTAAGATGGCGTGTCAAGTTAAAAATACAACTACACATCTTAAAGTGTTTACAGCGATCATAATCACAGCTGTTTACATTCCCCCTCAAGCCAACACAGACCAGGCACTCAAGGAACTGTATGGGAATATAAGTGAGCAGGAAACCGCTTACCCAGATGCGGCGTTTATTGTTACGGGGGACTTTAACAAAGCCAACTTCAGAACAATAACTCCAAAATATTTTCAACACATCACCATCAACACACGTGGTGATCGTGCACTGGACCACTGCTACTCTCCTTTCCGGGACGCCTACAAATCCCTCCCCCGCCCACCTTTCGGCAAATCG